GGAGGAGGAGGAGGAGGAGGAGGAGGAGGAGGAGGAGGAGGAGGAGGAGGAGGAGGAGGAGGAGGAGGAGGAGGAGGAGGAGGAGGAGGAGGAGGAGGAGGAGGAGGAGGAGGAGGAGGAGGAGGAGGAGGAGGAGGAGGAGGAAGAGGAGGAGGAGGAGGAGGAGGAGGAGAAGGGAGGAGGGAGGGAGGGAGGGATTAGGAAGTCCCAAAGCACCCAGCGGCTGGATCTCTTCGGGACCGCGGGCCGTGGGGCCCAGCTTTGTTGACCTCTTTGTTCCGGGGCAGGCCTCCTCGCCCTTCGAGTAGGGGATCGACTGCAGACTTGATTTACCCCAGCACTTCTTTTCTCGTCAAGTCCTACGTAGAACTTTCGCAGACCTACGAACAGTCTACGCACTTCTTCTGCAGTCGACTGGCAAATCAAGTTTGGGGTAACTCAATTCTGAGTTAGGGCCCATGGGGCGGCGAAGAGCCGACCGCCTCGTCGGGCGTGGATCAGTGCCCCTCTCATGCCTCGCTCCTCCTCCTCCTCCTCCTCTCCTCCTCCTCCTCCTCCTCCTCCTCCTCCTCCTCCTCCTCCTCCCCCTCCCCCTCCCCCTCCCCCTTTCCCTCCCCCTTCCCCTCCACTCCACCTCCCCTCGTCGGTCGGGGACGGGGGGAGGAACCTGTATGTTTCCTGCCCCTCTTGGGCCCCAGGGGGCCCTTTCTAGGGCCCCTGTCGGGCACAGAAGGTGCACCTTTCTCCCCCTCCCCCCCGAGCGTTCTTGAGGGGGAGGGGGGAGAAATCTGCCCCTCTTGGGTCCCAAGGGGGCCCTTTACAAGGCCCCTGTCGGGCACAGAAGGTGCACCTTTCCCTCCCACCCCCCTGCTCCCCCCTTCATCGCCCCTCCACTACTCCACGCCCGACCTCGTTCTTGCCTCGAGCCGCCAGGTGACTGGGATCGAGCGGAGTGGTGGAGGCAGGCGAGCCCAGAATCGAATCGAAAAGTCGGATCGGCGATCGAAATCAATCGGGTCGGCGGAAATCGACAGCCGAGTCGGGAGACGCCGAATCGGCCGACATCGGCAGGCTAGTATATGCCTCCATTATGAAAAATCCATATCCAAATCGGAATCCGAAGTCGAACCGAAGCGGAATCGTGCCCATCGATCGGCAGGCGGGTGTGGGCCTCTAGTGCGAAAAATCGGCATCCCGATCGGAATCCGAAGTCGGATCGAAGCGGCACCGGGCGCCATTGACATCGGACCGAACCGCATCGGAGGCGTCGAGCGGTGAGTCTTGACCAAGAGACCTCCAAGCTTCCCAGAGCAAGAATGCCCGGGTATTTTGGGTGACCCACAAGGGGGTCAAGCTGAACGGGGGTGGTGCAATAGATTTTGGGCAAATGCATTGCAAATGCATTGCGCCAGATAACTGTGTTGCATTGTGCCGCAAGTAAGGCGTTGCACGCGAACATCCAACAATACACTTGCGCCCCGGAATTGTACCACACGCCCCAGATGCAGTGCACCACCCCTATATATATGTGTGTATGTATATACATATATACACTATGTATACATATATATATACATATACATATACATATACATATACATATACATATACATATATACATACATACATACATACATACATACATACATACATACATACATACATACATACATACATACATACATACATACATACATACATATATACATACATATATACATTCATACATACATACACATGCATACACACATACGTACATACATACATACATCCATACATACATACATACATACAGACACATACATACATACATACATACATACATGCCTGCATGCATACCTACCTACATACATACATACATACACAATACATACATACATACACACACATACATACATACATACATACATACATACATCCATACATCCATACATCCATACATCCATACATACATACATACATACATACATACATACATACATACATGCATACATACATACATACACACATACATACATACATGCATGCATACATACATACATACATACATACATGCACCCATACTTACAAACATACATACATACATACATACACACACGTACATATATATATGTATGTGTGCATGTATGCATGCATGCATGTATGTATGTATGTATGTACGTACGTACGTACGTACGTACGTACGTATGTGTGTATGTATGTATGCATGCATGCATGCATGCATGCAGGCAGGCAGGCAGGCAGGCAGGTATGTATGTATGTATGTACGTATGTATGTATGTATGCATGTATGTATGTATGTATATGTATACGTATATGTATATGTATATGTATATGTATATGTCTATGTATATGTATATATATATATGTATTGCACCACCCCCTGGTCGCTGGACCCCCTCTTGGGTCACCTCGAGGTGTGCGGCGCGCCAGCGGCGGCGGGCTACTGCCACTGCACGGGCAGGCCGGCCAGGCCTGGGGGCGGCTCCGGCTGCGGCGCCTGCGCGGGGCGGGGGCGGCACGGCCTCGCCCGGGGACCTCCTCTGCCTCCCCCCTCCCTCCCCCTCCCCCTCTCCTCCTCCCCCCCCCTCCTCCTCCTCCTCCTCCTCCTCCTCCTCCTCCTCCTCCTCCTCCTCCTCCTCCTCCTTCCCTTTCCCCTCCCGCGGGGACGGCGCCCCCGCCCGCTCCGCTCCCGGCCGCGCTGCAGGTGGGCCGCATGCGCCCGCCCGCCCGCCGCACAGCTCGCCCGCGGATCGCCCTCGCCCGAGATCGCCAGAGTCGGCCCGTGCGTGTCCCGACTTCGGGCCCCGATCGAGACGCCCTCGCAGAGTCGACGAGGCGCCCCCCGAGGGAGCCCCCGAGGAGGAGAACGAGGATGAATTCCTCCCTCTCCTGCTCCACACCCGCCCGATCCTCGCCTTCCCGATGTTCATCCTCGCCACCTTCGCGTCGAAATGCATCGGATCGGTGACGCAACGCCCGAAGGCGGCGGCGCTGCCGGCCGCCCGGCGCGGCGCGGCGCGGCGCGGCGCCTGCGGCGCCGGGGGCGCCGCGGGCGCGGGCGCCGCGCCTGCGGGCTGCGGCGACGCGCGCCGCCAGCCGCGCGTGGCCCGCAGGCGCCGCAGGATCGCCTGCGCGCTCGGGCCCGCGCGGCCCCGGCCGTTCCGCCCCCCATCGGCGTGCGGGCACGGCTCCTGTCCACGTGAGCGGCGATCGAGAGCGGGTCTTGCGCGACAGTGCTATCCACTTGAGCGACGATCAAGGACGGGTCTCGCGCGACGATCAAGAACGATTCCTATCCACTTGAGCGACGATCCGATCCGCTGGAGCGACGATCCACTTGAGCGACGGCTCCGATCCACTTGAGCGATGGCGTGCCACGAGATCCTGGCGCTGCAATTCTGTTCGCACCTGGCCTTTTCGCCCTGTGTCCGGTCCCCAGGGTCCGCACAGATGGCTCCAGCTCGAAGAATGACGCAGAAAGATGGGGTCTGAGGCTCCTGGCGGGATTTGCCGCGATATGCTGTATTTCTTCACCACGTCGGATTGCAGGGTAGCGACCTTACGCGGTGGCTTACGCAGGCCGCCAGCGCGGCCGCTGTATTGGAGACGAGGGCGCTTGCGCGCGACCTTTACGCGGGCAGCTTACGCGCCAATGTCAGCGCATACGGCCCCGTGTTTTTGCGTCGCTCGCTTGGCTCTGACGCCCGGATTATCAGGGATAGCTGCGGTCTGGGGTAGCTCCAAAATGGGACCCCGATGCGCGGATCTGCAGCTACCCCGGACTGTCCCCAGCCCTGATGCTTCGGGATGGTTGGACGCCCGAATCATCCAGCATAGTTGCGATCCAGGGTCACTCTAGTTTAATTGGGCCCGAGGCGCGAATCCGTAGCTACCCCTGACTGTCCCCAGCCCTGATGACTCTGATATTGGCGGCGCGCATAAAGGGGCCGGAGGGAGGGGGAAGGCTTCTTGGAAGGAGGCTGCTCGTCTTAGAAAGCGCCAGCCCTATACCTGCAGACGAAGCCCGTGCCTTCTGAGAAACAGGGTGCTTCTGAGAAGCCTTCCTCCCTCCCAGAACCCCGACGCCATGTTTTTTTATTAACGCCGACCCCAAGAGGTCTCGACCAGTTCCCTGGGGAGACCCGCTCTTCATCCTGAATCGTTCTTTGACGGCCCCAGGGCCCAGTAGAAGGGCTTCTCGAGGCCGAAGACAGCAAAAAGCTCGCCGTCGTGATTTTTCACAGCGCGAGGGACCCCTCCGCCTCCGCCTCCGCCCCCCCCAGGGGATCCTTGAGGAGGAGGAGGAGGAGGAGGAGGAGGAGGAGGAGGAGGAGGAGGAGGAGGAGGAGGAGGAGGAGGAGGAGGAGGAGGAGGAGGAGGAGGAGGAGGAGGAGGAGGAGGAGGAGGAGGAGGAGGAGGAGGAGGAGGAGGAGGAGGAGGAGGAAGAGGAGGAAGAGGAGGATGAGGAGGAGGAGGAGAACGAGTAGGAGGAGGAGGAGGAGGAGGAGGAGGAGGAGGAGGAGGAGGAGGAGGACGAGGAGGAGAACGAGGAGGACGAGGAGGAGGACGCCGAAAGCCATTTGGCCTCTTGCGGGCCAGCCGATCCCGATCGATCCATCGGGGTCGGTCGGCGCCTGCCGCCCGATCGATCGCGGTGGCAGGGCGCATCGCGCATCGGCCAGCCCCCGAGGCCGGGCTCACGCGCGCCGCGCGCCATCTTCTGCGGCAGGGGGCCACCCGTGCCTCCCTGCCCCCTGCCGCAGGCCGCGGCGCTCGCGGCCGCGCTGCGGCCCACCGGCGGGGCGCCGCCACATCGCCGAGGAGGAGGTCCAGAGGGCGCTGCACACCGCCGTGAGCGGCAGCAGAGAGCCCAGGACAGGCTCCTGCTCCGCCTGCGGGCGGCGGCCGAGCGCCTGGCCGCCCATCGCTCTGCCCAGCCAGCGATGGCACGAGACGGGAAGGGCAGAGGCAGCGGCGGCCGAGGCGGCAAGGGCCACGCCCAGGAAGGAGCAGCGCCCCCAGCAGCGCCCCCTTGGCGCCAGGAGAGGTGGCAGGGCGCTGGATGGCAAGAACAGCAGTGGAATGCGGAGCCAGCAGGCGAGGACCCGCCCTGGCGCAGAACGCTATCACGGCCGCGGCGCTCTGGCCAGGCCAGCCCTCGCCAATGGCAACCGCAGCAGCAGCAGCAGCAGCAGCAGCAGCAGCCCAGCCAGCCCCCATGGCAGCAGCAGCAGCAGCAGCAGCAGCAGCAGCTGCAGCAGCAGCCCAGCCAGCCCCCATGGCAGCAGCAGCAGCAGCAGCAGCAGCAGCTGCAGCAGCAGCCCAGGGCGGGCAAAGGCGGCCAGGCCAGCTCCAGCAAAGCGGACCAGAGGGCTCAAAAAGTCATTGACTCTGTGGCAGCCTGCACGCTGGACGAGGCAACCTCCCACCCAAAGTGGCAGGCGCCCCCAGCCGACCGCGCAGGCATCCAGAAGTTTCTGAGCAGCGCGGACCAGAGGCTGAGGAAGCTCGGCGACCTGGTCGTCGCCAAGCAGGCCGCGGGCGACAGCACGAAGGAGCAGTTGATGGAAATCTCGGTCATCAAATACCAGAAGCTGGTCACGAGGAGGCCGAATGACCAGCTGCAGGTGCTCAGCAAGAGGCGCAAGGCCGTCAAACTCGAAGTCATCGCCCTCGAGGCCAAGACGAACGAGCTGCGGGACGACCTCAAGGCCAAGCAGCAGGAGTTGAGGCAGCTCGAGTCCAACATCGCCGACGTGCGGGCCGTGCTCGCCGACGGCGGCGCGGCGGACGACGAGGGCGACTGGGGCGCGGACGGGTTTGGCTTGGCACCGAGCTGGGATGCCTTCCACAAGGCCGTGATCGACAGGCGCCTGAACAGCGAAGCACCTGGTGGCGGATTTACAGCTTGGCCAGCGGGAGTGGTGGGGCGATCGCCACGCTCAAGAGCCAGCTCGGCAGGCAGCGCAACCAGAGGCTTCGCCGATCAGGTGGCCAAGGCGAATGCGGAGCGGGCCCGCCAGCAGCAGCGCCATGCCGAAGCCGAGCATGAGTTTGCTGCCGAGCTGGCGGAAGTCAGGGGGGTCGCCCGAGAGCAGGCGCGAGTTCGCGACGCAGATAAAGACCAGGATAATCAGCCATGACGCAGCCTTCAGTCAAGCCAAGGCAGAGGCCGAAGCGGCGACCCAGCGGGCAAATCACCTGCATGAGCAGCTTGAGTATGCTCGAGCGGAGCACCGAGCGCAGCCGCAGCCCCAGGACAGGGTCTACCAAGACCTGCTGCGGGCAAGAGCCGAGGCGCAAGAGGCATTGCGACAGGCCCAGCACGAGAGCGCCCAAGCGACAGCTACAGCGGGCACTCTCAAGCAGCAGCTCACCAGGCAGGAGCTGGTCATGGAAGAGAAGCTCCAGGAGGCCAAAAAGAACCACGCCCTCGAGCTTGAAGCTGCCGCCGAATCAGCCAGGGTCCAGGCAATCGCCCAGGCCCAAGTGGTTGCCAATGCCAAGGGAAAAGGGGCCCTCCCGCCGGCAGAAGCGGCCAGGCTGCAAGGGATCGTCCAGACAGCAGCACGGCAGCAGGATCGGCTCAGGCAGACCAAAAGCGAGCTCGAGGCAGCTGAAGCCCGCATACACGAGCTCCAGCAGTACTCCAAGCTTGAGGCGGGCGCTGCGCAGCGTGCAGTACAGGTTGCATACCACGAAGCAGCGGAGCTGAGAAGCACCAACGAGGAGCGGCAGATCCCGCACGAGGTGCAGGCATTGCAGTTCGCCCTGCTAAGGACTAGAGCAGAGGAGGAGGAGATTGCGAAGGCCAGCCTGAAGGACAAGGAGGCAATGCGGGCAGAGCTCGAAGGCAGTGCTGAGCGAATAAGGTCGAGTCTCACCCGCCAAGTCATGATAGAAGAAGCGAGCGCACATGACTTGCAGCTGCACACAGAGAGCCTGCGACAGGAACTGAGCAGCTACGCGGTGCAGCTGAGCGAGCAAAGGTCCAACGCAGAGGTGCAGGAGCAGGCGCTGGAGGAGGAGCTCGCCCAAGCCCTCACCTTCAGGATCGCCAGCATGGAGGAGGCCTCCGCCATGGAAGACTTTGCCAGCCAGCAGAGGACGGGCAGGGGGGAGGCCATTCACCTCGCGCTGCAAGAAAGCCTCCAGCGCTCCAGCACGCTACACACCGAGCTCGACGCCATCGCAAAGAAGGAGGAGCAGGGCGCGTCGGAGACAGAGGAGCTAAAGCTGAGAATGCAGAGCCTGGAAGCCATTGCAGCCAGCAGGGAACGTGAACGCAAGGCCATGGTCAGCCTGTACGCCGAGATGAGGCAATACGGGCAGGAGGGCTACGACTTCACCCAGAGGGCAGCTCATCACCTCGTCCAAGGGGGCCACCCCCCAACGTCCCAAGAGTCCATGAACGACTACCAGGAGGCCGCTGACCTGTACGAGGAAGCCAGAGGAGCAGCCGAGGCAGCGACCGCCCCAGCGGAGTCCCCCGTTGCG